TTACGATAATGATATACTGGATAATTCGTGACACAATTCCGCAGTAATATTTTGTAATTAAAAGTGGAAACAAACATTGGTGAGGATATACTGAATTTAATTTTTAATTAATCGACTTTAATGCCCTTTTATTTTTGGTTTTCTTTTTTTCGTCTCTACCTTGCTATGATGTCGCGTAAATAGCTTGGTAAATAACGTATGTTATAGCGCACCATATTAACCACTACAGAAGAGAAAAAAAAGAAAAATCGAAAACAAAGAAAAAAAAAATAAAAAATCGAGAAAAAGAGAAAAAAAAAAAGGTAGTTAATAAGAGTATATATCTCATCATTAGATATAGTTTTATGCTCCGGACATTATATTTTAACAGTTATTTAGACTAGAACGGAAATTATTTTTTAATTTACCTCGTATATTAATATGTAACTTTTCAAATTTATTTTAATCATTACATTAATTATCTTAATCATTACATTAATTATTTTAATCATTATATTACTCTTTCGATGATCATTGTCTTGAAACGTCATCTCATCATTGTCATACATATCGATCCACATTTTTCTTATTATCTTATTATCTTAATTAATAATCATTAATAATCATTAATTATCTTAATCTTACTTTTCTCGCTATATAGAGAAAATGATTATCTTAATTTTACTTTTCTCGCTATACAGAGAAAATGATACGATTTTTTTTTTCAATTTTTACTTTTTTTTATATATACATTTTCATACATTTTATACATTAAGATTTTCATTCTACGGTTTAGGGTAAAACGTCCGTGATACGCTTTCGACGAAATATCTCGTCAGACGACAAACAAATCGGCATTGAACCATTTCACCGGGATTCATGCCGTTCATAAATACGTCGATGAATCAAAATATTATCGAATTACACGAGAGTTACCGCATAAAATCGTGCAATCATACTGTCTGTGGTATTACAAATAGTATATTGAATTTGGTTTTTTGGTCAGCGTCAAATGAAAAGGAACAAAGTCACATAAAATGTTAAACAAAGAAACGAAGAAAAAAATGTCAAATAAAAATAAATTCTATTTCATTTCCCTGTCACACAATTGTGCAATTCGATGTGAAATATTTTATTCAAAGCGTTGCGCGAACGGCGTTTTCGTTGCGAGATGTCTCGTCCAAAGCGTATCACGAATGGTTTTTCTACTTTTCGATGCGATAGCATTAATTTTAATCTGAAACCGTCGTTTGTTTCCACTCTTTTTTTTTTTCTTTGTTCTCCAACTATTATTTATGCATAGATCAGTGATATAATAATGACAATAGTAATAGTAGCTTTAATATAATACTCTAATTCTTTTATCGTGTCATTATACATAAAAGTATTCTTTGTAAAACAAGAAGAATATGAGAAAGCCGCGTTAGAATGATATACACATTTTCGTTAAAAAAAATGGATTAGAGTATTAGATGGAGAATATTTTCCAATGGATTAGTACATTGGATATGGATTTACAAAAGTAGATTAGAATAGAATATTTTTAATTTATTAACAATGCAATTTGCAGTTGTCTTCTAGAAACGAGAAAAGACCAATAATTTCTCTGTTTCTCGTAGCATTTGCACATTTCCCTAAAGTCGTTTAGACTATGAAAGAAAATTGATGCGATAGTAATGATAGTAATGATAGTAATGATATTGTTATTGTAAACATATGTCCTTGCTATGATTTTGCGATAACCGTATAATACTGTAAACAGAGTGAAATATTTAAAACTGGGCGATAGCATATATTTTGTAATTGTAACATAATATATAATTTCATCACACGTGTTGTTATCTGACCATTTTCTACTCGTTTCCCTTCATTTTGCAATTTTCCATCTCTCCCTTTCTCTTTCTCGGTCCCTTCGAAGAATTTCCAAATAAAAATGTTGAATCCGGAATAATAAAACAATTGCCACGAGATAACTTTGTAATGTAACAAAGTAAATTTTCAATGCAGAAACGTGTAATGAAGTGACTCTGTATTTTTGAGGGTTTGGTATTGGTTGGAGGATGTAATATCGTGAAAATTTTTATAATCAGAGCGGAAGTCCGGTGAAAGAATAAATCCCCTCCATAGATCGTGAAATTGGATATTATTCGTTCGATCTTATTTTAACAGTGGACGCGATTACTTTCGCCGTTATTTCATTAAAGTTATCCGAGAATTTTCATAATTGAACAAACGATCGCGATTTCATTTCGCTGAAAATTAAAGTTAATTTTCGAACAGCTGTGATTACTTTAAAATTCGCAGAAAATGTGTAACCCTTTGGTTTTTTTTTTCTTTGGAATTATTCAAGTAGTAGTAATATTAATAACATTCAATATAATACAGTTTCGTACAATTATAAAATCTACGTCGGATAAAACGGAGAAAATTCTCAGATAGAACTTTTTATAATATAAATTGATCGAAACAAAATTGCAAATGTTAATGCAACGTCGTGACTCTTAATGGATTAATCCACAGTTCGCAAATTGTACAAATTGAAATTCAATTCTCTAGGGAGTAGTTAGTTTCAAAAATTTCATGGCAACTCGGGAAGCACAAGTTGCATCTGAAAAGAACAAGAAAACAGAAAATAGAGGTCACTGTTAGGTGGTCACTGTAAGACTGAATGATATAAAACAAAAATAACCTTTAATTTTAAAAAAATTTTTTATTATTTTATTTGGAAATATAATTTAATGGATTTTTCTCAGTATTTTTATCAATTGAAATCTCAGTATTTTTATAAATTTGATTAAAACCCTTCAATTTTTCAGTAGCCACTCTATAGAGACGACACCGTTCTATTATATTCTAAAAAGTTCTGCCCCTCTTACAAACACATGTTTTTTTAAAAATTTTTTTATTATTTTATTTGGAAATATAATTTAATGAATTTTCCTCGGTATTTTTATAAATTTAAATTTTCTTCAAACCCTTCAATTTTTCAGTAGCCACTCTATAGAGACGACACCGTTCTATTATATTCTAAAAAGTTCTGCCCCTCTTACAAGCACATGTTTTTTAAAAAATTTTTTTATTATTTTATTTGGAAATATAATTTAATGGATTTTCCTCGGTATTTTTATAAATTTAAATTTTCTTCAAACCCTTCAGTTTTTCAATAGCCACTCTATATATAGAGACGCTCTATTATATTCTAAAAAATTCTGCCTCTCTTACAAACACATGTTTCTTTTTAAATTTTTTTATTATTTTATTTGGAAATATAAATTAATGGATTTTCCTCGGTATGTTTATAAATTTAAATTTTCTTCAAACCCTTCAGTTTTTCAGTAGCCACTCTATATATAAAGACGACACCGCTCTGTTCTAATCTGAAAAGTTCTGCCTCTTGTCTATTGAGGTGCTTTCAGCTATCTCTCGCGGGGATCACGGGAAAGCAAGTAAGAAGTTGGCCAGCTTTAAACAGCGGTTTCCTTTTCTGTCCGACGAAATTTCTTTCCTTCAGGAGGGGAAGACGTCCCAGCTCTGACCTCGGGATGATTTGTTTCACGCGGAATTCTTATCAGCCGGAAACATTTTTCATCTGTGTTTTCTCAAGCACGTTCGTACTTAACGAGTTCAAACTTAATCTTAATGGCTGAAAGAGTTGTGTGTTTGTTTCGAGAAATTGAAAATAAGTTTCTTTTGCTCTTTTTTTTTTTTAAGTTTCAAGCGCGTTGAAATTTGCGTGACATTTAACCGAATGAATATATTATAAAAATATTATCGAATTTCTGTGAATATTCAAAGGCAATTATTCTAAGGAAAGAAATTTTTCTTTTTAGACAAACAATTTTATGATACAAATAATCTTGTAGGAAACATTCTGTCAAAATTTAAAGCTAAACAGACGAAACCTATTGGATGCCGCGAGAACGTGCTTAAATGTTTTAAATTATCTGTAACGAAGAAAAAGTCGCTTTTTAATACCGTAATTACTCGAGTTTCAAAAAATCCTTCTGTTTCCGCGCGTATAAAGCTCGAAACAGAATTGAAAACGAGACTTTTTGCAATTTGTAATTTCAATTTAAACGAACGAAATATTAACTTAGAATTCACAACCGAGAGCGTTTCAAACATTTCTGTTAATTGTTTCATTTCCGTCAGAATTTCCACGATCGCGAGATTAGCGCAAAATAAGTAATAACTAAAGATTCAATTAATGGAGAATTATCAGAGAAATTTGATGGAAAAACCTTGAAATTGTACAGAAGAATGTGTGCTATCTCTGAACGTCAGTTGAGGATCAATACTGGAGAATGTATGATATTCGTGAAATGCATGATGGACAGAATTAATGTTGAAAGATACAAATATGATGTGATTATTACATACACATCTCCAGTGAATTTCATAATCAGAGGGAGCCAATATATTTCATCTCGTGAACGCATCAATCCTCCAGTCTTACATAATTTTCATATTTTTCTGCTCGAAATAATTCGGGCTACGTTTATGTCTTGCCTAGGTTTTCTTCGCAAGACATTTCGTTCAATAAATTGAAATAAAAATCAACTGGAAAATGTGTAAATATTTTTTCATTTGTTAACTTGCAGTCTGGAGAATTTATTTTTGTTACTTTTATGGCTTGGAGTATTTATTCAGGTGCACTAGAAATTATTCGGAAAAAAAAACCGAAATAATCGTAGCGAAGAAAATAAAATCAATTCAACGAGGAAATAATACTCAGATATATACTTGACGCTATTCGACGCTACAGTGTCTCGTTAGTTGTTAACAGAACAACATTTAATTTGTCGCACAAATGAGACTAAACTGTGCGAACAGCCGAACCAATCGCAGCTCGCCAAACTATCCAATCACGGTCCAACTAGTCTGTCTGCGCCAATTAACCACGACTCTGCCAAACAAGCCGCAACCAACCACAAACCAACATAAACCACCATGCCCAACCAATTAATTCACCGTTAGACACGACCTCTGTCACTCTATCATCGTTATTTCGTCAACGACTAGCAGTCGACGACTCTTCCAACGTTTTCATACTCGTCCAAACCCAACGTCCAGAGCCTCTCTCTTTTCTTTCAATCCTGATATCTCTTTCACATTGACGGTGTGTCATGTCGTCGAACGAGTTGCAGCACGATAACACGACGATGGTGAGAGAAACGAAGCGGACGGAAGAGGACGAGCAAACAGAGGCGAGGAACAAGTGTCGAAAACAGTGGAAAACTATGGACGCCGCGTTGGCCGATCGCGACGATAACAACCTGTACGTGGCTGTTCGTCAGAGCTTGCACAAGGTTGATCAGCTTCCACGAGGTGGGAGGAGGACCTCGCTGGAAAGCTCGGAGACTGGCGGCAGAGGTGGTGTCTCGCAGGAGTCGAGCATGGGGAGATTCTCCACGATCAAGGCGTTCTTTGATCATCAGAATGTGGGACAGGATGAGGGCACACCGTTCAGGTGCAGAAGCAGAACCATGATGAGCAAGCTGATGAGAATGCTCGAACTGAGGAAACGAGAGACCAGTTCTATCGGTTGTTCTATTTGATTTTTCAATTTCGTTTGTATTTCGTTTTCGTGCACTTGCTGGAATCTGAGTTGTGAATTGTGCGGTGACGTTTTTTTGGGAAGGGGTGGAGGATTAGGTCACAGTCAGTTTAGAAAACTTGTTTCGTTTTATTGTTTTAGTCCGTGAATATTATTATTATTTTTCGAAAGAGAACTTTAAATTTTTCTGTTTTTATCTTCGTTCCTCGCGGTAGATTTGTTGAGTTTGTAGAGATTTAATTTGTGAATTGTGTGGTGATTGTTTAGTATTTGTGGAGGTTTAGGTCACAGTCAGTTTAGAAAACTTGTTTCGTTTTATTGTTTTAGTCCGTGAATATTATTATTATTTTTCGAAAGAGAACTTTAAATTTTTCTGTTTTTATCTTCGTTCCTCGCGGTAGATTTGTTGAGTTTGTAGAGATTTAATTTGTGAATTGTGTGGTGATTGTTTAGTATTTGTGGAGGTTTAGGTCACAGTCAGTTTAGAAAACTTGTTTCGTTTTATTGTTTTAGTCCGTGAATATTATTATTATTTTTCGAAAGAGAACTTCAAATTTTTCTGTTTCTATCTTCGTTCCTCGCGGCAGGTTTGTTGAGTTTGTAGAGATTTAATTTGTGAATTGTGTGGTGATTATTTAGTATTTCTGGAGGATTAGGTCACAGTCAGTTTAGAAAACATTTTTCGTTTTATTGTTTTAGTCCGTGAATATTATTATTATTTTTCGAAAGAGAACTTCAAATTTTTCTGTTTCTATCTTCGTTCCTCGCGGCAGGTTTGTTGAGTTTGTAGAGATTTAATTTGTGAATTGTGTGGTGATTATTTAGTATTTCTGGAGGATTAGGTCACAGTCAGTTTAGAAAACATTTTTCGTTTTATTGTTTTAGTCCGTGAATATTATTATTATTTTTCGAAAGAGAACTTTAAATTTTCCTGTTTTTATCTTCGTTCCTCGCGGTAGGTTTGTTGAGTTTGTAGAGATTTAATTTGTGAATTGTGTGGTGATTGTTTAGTATTTGTGGAGGATTAGGTCACAGTCAGTTTAGAAAACTTGTTTCGTTTTATTGTTTTAGTCCGTGAATATTATTATTATTATTTTTCGAAAGAGAACTTTAAATTTTTCTGTTTTTATCTTCGTTCCTCGCGGTAAGTTTGTTGAGTTTGTAGAAATTTAATTTGTGAATTGTGTGGTGATTGTTTAGTATTTGCGAAGGACGGAGAAGGTTTTAGGATTTTGTCTCTTAAACACCGATTCGGTTTTAGAAAACTTTTATTTAATTATTTTAGTGAATATTAGTTTTCGAAAGAAAACTTGATCAATTTCTTTTTTTTTATTTTCGCGGTAGATTTGTTTAATTTGAGATTTAATTTACGAGTACAGTGGAGGAAATTTTAGGATTAGGTCACATTTAATCCCTTAAAAACTGATTCAGTTTTACAAGCTTTTTTCGAATCTCATTATTTCAGTTGGTAAACGCAGTTTTTCGGAAAGGAACTTGATTAAATTTTTTTTCCTTGTATTTTATCTTCGTTTCTCGCGGTAATTTTATTTAGTTTGTTCGTGGGGATTTAATTTGTGGCGTAATTTAGTTTTTAGTATTTGAAAGAAAAGATTGAGAAACTTTCAGGATTAAGCTATACTTAATCCCTTAAGGGCTGATTCAGTTTCAGAAAATTCTTTTCAAATTTATTATTTTTGTTCGTAAATACAATTTTTTGTTCGAAGGGGAGCCTCTATTTTTATAAAATACTCTATTGTAATACTTATTAAAAACTTCATTTCTTCAGTTACTTAGAAAGAACGAAAACTCGCATAAAGATCCGCAGTCTAATAATAAGAAATTAAAGCTACGTGATATTAGATTTGCATAATGCAGTGAACGCAGAGATGGATCCCCTGAGATCAATACAACACGTTATACATAACAATGCGTTCACAATTTTCATTTTAATCAAAACGTGCACACAATTACTGTTGATTGTTAGCGTTGTATAGAGCGAGACTAGGCGTGTCCGTAAATGGAAAAGAAATAATAAATGAGATACGAGTTTCATGGATCTTCTTTCCACGCTTTTTCGTACGCACTTAGATTTATTTGATCTATGAGAAATCAACTCTTTATTTTTTAAACGTTCTACGATGACGTACGTGACGGAGGAGGAATGTAGATACACATTAAGTTTATACATTAGCTCTATGATTTATTGACGCGATACGTTGTGGATAACAATGAATTTCGTTCCAGTTGAAAATTCCAACAGTGGAAATGTTGGTTATCGCGCAGCGATGGGCTAGATTTATGCGTTACGGGTAATACATTATAGACGAATATAATACATTATGAATATTAATCAACATTAGAGGACCGTTTGATTGTTTCGCTTGATGCGGGATATTATTGTAGTTTCTGGGACACAGGCACCAGGAAACCGGGCGAATGCAAATTTTAAAATCATGTATTTCGAACGTCCCCCGTTTGTTGATTTAGCGAACGTAATCTCATAATCATTGACAGTGAGTTATAAAATGTGCCTGTGAACGAATTTCATTTCGTTTCTTTCTGTGCTAATGTTCGAACGTTGGTCAGAGTTTGACGAGGTTTGTGTTGGAAATGTCAGGGAAAGTGAACCTTTTTTTAGATGCAGTATCGTAGATGTTACAAATCTATATTCGTTGGGCAAATTTATTCAAGTCTCCTTTTGTACATGATTATTTAGTGTCAAACTAAACTACGTATGTTAATATTTCGTCTTTCTGTACGTGTTCGTCGTAGAAAATTTTTCATTCGCCAGTAGAAAATTTTATTGTCATCCAACCAATTCCCTTTGTTCCCAAAGCTCTCCGAATTAAACTGTCCTATTTTCTTTTTTTGATACCAGCCTATCTAAAGTACCACCCTCTAGCTGCTCCTTTTTATCTGTGCGGTCATAGAGATTTCCAGCACGTCAAAAATTGCAAGATAAATATCTTCCACCATCCTCGAACCTTTGAACCAAGGTTAAACCAAAAAGAAAAAAAAAAAAAAAAAAAGAAAAAGGGAAAGAGTAAAATGTATACGTGTATCCTCGTTTCGCAGAACCGACGACAAAGAACGATCTCGACGTGAACAGCAACATGGTATCGCATTAGACGAGAAGCACGAAAACTCGAGAACCACAGGTTCTCTGATCAACGACGAAGAAAGGCATCGAAGAAGAAACAAAACTGCTCAAGAAACCACCGCACCGTTTTATTGGTATACGAACATGGGACGCGAGCAAAATTGTGACTCTGACTCTGTTCCTCTTCTCTTTTCTTTTCTTTTCTTTTTTCTTTCTTTTCTTGGATATGGCAAACGAATGGCGAATTCGCGTTCGTTGGATCACGATATTTTGAGAAATTGCGTGTATCTTTGAGAAATCGAAAAGAGAAAAGTGGGCACGAAAGGTAGAATTATTTTGACTCTGTCGAGGAACTTGGAAAGATTATTATTTCCACCAGAGAGAGAGAGAGAGAGAGAGAGAGAGAGAGATGCGTAACCCGTGGATATTTATGCTTTCATGGTGGTCCAAAATTACACGAAATATGTATTTTATATTTTCATCACATTTAATGGCTAAAAGCGTCGCTGTTCATGTTATACTCGCCGAAATTGAAGTTTGCAAATTTGCACGAACGTCCGCAGTCCGGCGATGGTTCTCGGGTTTTTCGACTTCCTGATGAAATACGTGTTGTTTTTTTTTTTTTTTTTTTTTTTTTCCTCCCCTCGAAAGTACGACGAAACAGGAATTTATTTATCGTCAGACACTGCGGACTTTCATGCACAACTCGTACATATATGTTTGAAAATAGAAGGGAAAGAGCGTAGGAAATTGTTTTACATATTAAGTACTGTGAAAAAGCTCTATGCGTCGAGTGTTTGTACGTGTATTTTTTCGCATCGCGGGCCACCTCGCGCTTGAAAGTTTCCCACGAATGCGTAAAAATCCGCGGTCCATTTGTCACAGTGGCGTGGAAATATTTAAACGTTCAGAGGGAGGTGGATGTTGCACGTTTCGAGAGAGCTACGGTTTATTTTTGCTCGTTAAAAAAAACTTGTTCAGAAACTTCATCGTCCTTCCTCGCGTAGCGCAGGATATAGGCAGAAATACGCGGCTTGCGCTCGTGAAAAAAAAATTGAAATTGCCCTTCGATTTTCTGAACAAGGATGCTTGTTTTCCTTAATTCTCTCGCCTCGTTGTTACTTTCCCTCCGTAACGATGTTGACGAAAATGACGCTGAAGACGAGAAAGTAGACTCTCTCTCCGATGCTTTCAATAAAAGTGAAAAAAAAAAAAGATGAAAGGGAAGATCTGATGGAAACGTTCGTAAATAAAATTTTGTCGAACAGGCAAACGAATGACGTGTATACATCTTTGTGTGTCTCGTTTTTTTCTTCCCCCCTCCCCCCTTTCGAGAAATATAAAATGCTCGCATTGCTTTCGTCGTCATTTCTTTTCCTCTTTTTTTTTCTCTCTCGTTCGGAGATTTATTTCGCGACTTCCAATCGTCACGATTGTTCTCCAGTTCGCGACAGTTCCTGATAATAAAGTTGTCACGACGAGGTTAACGAGGCGCGGGCGAAGCGATGAAAATGAAGCTGAACTTTTCCGAGAAGGATCTTGGCAACACCGACGCACGGTGATTTATGACGCTGCGCATGATTTTAATAAATTCCTCGCGACGCTTCTGTTCCACGCTTATGTGTGCGCGCGTGTATGTATGTGATTTCTTCATTTTGGTAAATGGTGCTGCTCGTGTTCGAATTGCAGCACTCGCCGAGTGCTGCAATTCGAACACGCTGAAGCGTAATTCAAGGAAGAGCTGTAGTTGCAACTAGTAGACATATACAGCAACCTATTTCAACACGTTGTTCGAAACTCGTCCGAGGAGTCACGGTTTTTAAATAACCCCGAAGAAATTGGAGACCATTTGAGATCATTTTAATATGTTGACGGTGTAACTGTGCACGAGTGATCTATGAATATATAAATAAATTGTAGCGTGTAATATTATATGAACAATCTGGATGAAAATGTGTACTAAGATATTAATTGTCATTTAACGTCTTGAAAGAGAAAAAGAAAAATTAGCGCTACTAGTGTACCTGCAGGCTTGTGGTTGTTCGAATTTTGTGTAGGTTTAGGTAGGTTTGTGCATGTTTGTATAGGTTTAGGTAATAGGTTTTGCACAGATCTCCTATAATTTTCATAGATGATCATTTTATTTCGACGATGGACTGTCTGGATGGACAGAAATTTCACCAAACTTCTAATTGTTAGAAGAAATGGTTGGCAGTGAAATAATTAATTTCAGCTTTTTAAAACTGTGTATCTACATTGCGATTACACTCGTCAAACACAGAATGTGCGCAGCACATGTAAAATTGAATTAAACTGTAAGGGAATAGTACTAGTTCTTTTTTTTTTTTTTTAAATCAATAATTTTATTGTTCGATTAACAATTAATAGCAATAGCTAAAAGAGAAAATGTAAATTTTCTGCAATTCTGAATTTACTGAAATTGTACAAATGTATCTTACATTCCGCAAAGAATCTCATTTGAGTGACAAATTGTAATCACCTTCCTTGGCAATTACACAGAAAATTGCCATTTCTTCGTTACTTGGCATCATACTTACCATTCTCAGCTAAGAGGTTATAAGCGTCTCTCTCAACTGTAAAATGGGAAACTGTTTTATAGAAATTCGCTAGCCGGCGCTGGCCAATCATTTTCGAATATTAATCAGGAGGTTAATCACCCCGGGGTCAACTTTGCCCGGACGGTGCGAGAAGTTGCGGTCGTCGGCCGGAGGATCAATGTAGATCCGTTTCTCGAGGACAGCGATGAAACTGGCTCGCGGGTCAACGATCGGGATTGACAACAAACGATCCGGAGACGATAACTTTCTTAGAACAAGCGGTGAGCTTGTTGTCAAAACTCCTCGTCAGCGTGAAAAAAAAAAAAAAAGAAAACAAAAGAAACGGACGAGCCGTTAATTTCTTGGCCGTGGATTTCTAAAAATAAATCGACAAATTTGAGAAAAAGTTGCGACAGGTCGTTGGGTAGTGTTACTTCAATAATCTTGATTTATTAGTTGAATAATTTCAAGCTAATTATTTAATTAGATGAATAATTGTCACTCGAGCAATCTTGAATTAATGTTCTTTGTCTCGATGAATTTAAAAATCCACAAATGTAATTGACATCGTACAAAGAGTTACTTGTTTCAGTGATGTTGAAGAAATTAGAGAGATCATTCGATTTAGTATATCGTGGAACAGAGAACGTTGCAAGTCTGCTGCAAATTAAATCGATGACCAATGAAACGATCGCAGTGACATCATTATCAAAGAGATAATGCGTTATTAACACTAGAACTAACCAAAGTGGACAAAATGACCAATTTATATATTATTCTATTTATTTTATTTATTTTTATTTATATTATTTTTAAAATATATTTTTAAATTATAAAATTTCATAGATAATATAGTAATATAGTATACTTTTAAATTATATTATTAATATAGTATATAATTATTATAGTATTATTAATATAGTATATAATTATATACTATATTAATATACTATATACTATATAATTATATTAATATAGTAATTAACATAGTATATAATTATTATGGTATTATTAATATAGTATACAGTAATACTATAATTAATTATTATTAATATAGTATACATAATTATATACTATATTAATATACTATATACTGTATAATTATATTAATATAGTAATTAACATAGTATATAATTATTATAGTATTATTAATATAGTATACAGTATAGTATATAGTATATAGTATAATACAGTATAGTATATTTTTAAATTATAGAATTTCATAGATAATATAATAAATGGAAGCTCAAGTGTAATTCATTTGCTTTTTCTTCTTACTTTCATATTTCTGATGGAAATTTTATGCTCTAACTGTCTGGTGGTTCTAGCGTTAACAATGAAATCATTAACAAAATCCTCCATGATTTATCGAGATGAATTGAAAATCTCCGTTTCGAGGTAACTGTAATGAAATCGGCCAATGAAAATCGGCGAGACGACAGCGTCGATTTCGTTTGCCGACGATAACACCAATTCGAATTAAACTTTATTTAACCGTTTCAACCTTGCCCCAACATTGACACAAACATTCGCCTAGCCGATTTCAACCGACTTGTATCGTTACACTGTTAGTTCGCAAGTTCGTTCGCGAGTTTTCGCGAAATTAAAGCAGTTGCTCTAATTCAGCGAGGATAGAAGAATCTACATACGTATCTGTGGTGTTGTGTGCAAGTGATCGGTCTATCGCGTGTGTGTTCGCGAGAGGAACAGAATTTGAAACGATTCGCGACATTCTGCAAACCGATTTTTGTCCACGTCTGATAGAAGAGCACACGTTCGTGAGCTGAATAATTGAATTTCATCGAGCGTCTGTGTGTGTTTGAAGTTGTTTGAAGTAAGAAACGAGAGTAAATGATAGTAGGGATAGATAGTAACGTTTACGAGTGAACAATAAATAATTGCACGGTGTTTCTCGTTGGAGATTGAAGATCGTTTCTTGATGAAATTGAATAATAAGAGGAGAAAATAAATAAATAAATAATTCCAAGTATCTCAAATTTCTTTATCTAAGATTAGAACTGGAACATTTAGGTGTAGAAGTTTGAAACTATATCAATTGAAGTCGAAAGTAAATGGTCTGTTTGAAATTTTACTAAGGGATAGACACAAGCGATAAGAATAGGTGTAGATGATAATTTTTACAAGTGTATTAATAAATAACTCTGTCGTTTTAAGTTAAATTATTCTACAATTGTAATTAAAATATTAGAGGTTAAATTAGATTTGTTTCCTTAATAAGAAGAAAGTAAATAATAGAAGTAGAAATTAATTAATTAGAAAATTCAAGAATATTAGTTTAATTCAAGGAAACTTAAGAATGTTGGTTTAAAAACTATTGCAGGAAACATTTCAATTGAAATCGAAATTAAATAGTCTGTTTGATAATAGGAGTAGGAATAAATAATAATTTTTACAAGCGAATAATTCCACGGTGTGTTTTAATTTCAATTTAATTATCAGAAGTGTTTAGCAAGTATCTTCTTAAATTTCTTTACTTAAAATCAAAGCTAGAAAATTTAAAAATCATCTTTGCATAATAATTTAAAGCAACTATTTAGGGAATATTTTAATCGAAA